CGTGCTTTCTCGCTCTTGCTTTCGCTCGTCGTCGTCGTCGACGTCGCCGTCGTTGCCGTCGTCGTCGACGTCGTCGTCGTCGTCGTCGTCGTGGTCGGTCCCCTGTCCGTCCCTCTTTGGGTTGGGTCGACGGTCCGCGGCCGCACCCAACGGACTGCCTGTGAGATGTGGTGTGCCGGCTATATAGTAACCAGCGGATCCGAAGGCCAAAACGCCCATCTCCAGGACGAACGTGTTTTCCTCTTGGGCCCGGAACGACGGTGTGAAGTCTTGAGCAGACCCGTATGAGATAATCCCCGTCGGATCCCATGAACTTCGCGCGGATCCAAATGTGGCTTTGGTGTTTGTTTCGGTGGATCCAATTTCCGCCCGTACGGATCCGATTTCGGATTAGCTGGATCCGTGTCCGGTCATTTTTTAACGGCGGATCCGATTTCTATTTTGTTTTAAATCTATTACATTAAATTCAAAGAGGGGACCGGAGGAAATCGGATCCGCGGACCCCGCAAACCGCCCGTGTTAAGATTCTCTGGGGGAAGGAGGTTCGGTAATCACTTTTCCACGATGGGCCCTGCGTCGTCTCGCGAACTCCCATCAACTCCCCGCGCGAGCGGGCCCCATTCAACATGGATACATACATCCTTCACTCCCGGTTGCTGCAAACAGCTCGTCCGGTCGCCGTCCGTTCGGCGGCGCCGACGTTGTCTCGCGAACTCCTCATGGCCATTTTCACCTCAAGAGGAACATCTTTCGTCCTGCGTAAGCGCATTTCGGCCCCTCCTCACCCAACGGACTGCCTGTGAGATGTGGTGTGTCGGCTGTGTGGTTACAACGACGGATTGCCTGTGAGATGAGGTGTGTCGGCTATGTGGTAACCAAGAAGTCCGATGGCCAAAACGCCCAGTGCGTTTCGGCCCTGCGTCTCCTCACCCAACGGACTGCCTGTAAGATGTGGTGTGTCGGCTATGTAAGTACCAACAACGGACTGCCTGTGAGATGTGGTGTGTCGGCTAGATGGTAACCGACGGGTCCAAAGGCCAAAACGCCCATCCTCAGGACGGCAGTTTTTCCTTCCTGATGTGGCGTGTCGGCTATGTTGTTACCATGTTGTTACCAGCAACGGATTTTTTGTGAGATGTGGTGTGTCGGCTAGATGATAACCAGCGAGTCCACAGGCCAAAACGCCCATGCGTTTCGGCCCTGCGTCTCCTCACCCAACGGACTGCCTGTGAGATGTGGTGTGCCGGCTATATGGGAACCGACGGGTCCGAAGGCCAAAACGCCCATCTCCAGGACGAACGTGTTTTTCTCTTGGTCCCGGAACGACGGTGTGAAGTCTTGAGCAGACCCGTATGAGATAATCCCCATCGGATCCCATGAAGTTCGCGCGGATCCAAATGTGGCTTTGGTGTTTGTTTCGGTGGATCCGATTTCCGCCCGTACGGGTCCGATTTCGGATTAGCTGGATCCGTGTCCGGTCATTTTTTAACGGCGGATCCGATGTCTACCCTGTTTTAAATCTATTATATTAGTTCAAAGAGGGGGCCAGAATAAATCGGACCCGCGAACCCCGCAAACCGCCCGTGTTAAGATTCTCTGGGGGAAGGAGGTTCGGTAATCGCTTTTCCACGATGGGCCCTGCGTCGTCTCGCGAACTCCCATCAACTCCCCGCGCGAGCGGGCCCCATTCAACATGAATGCATGCATCCTTCTCCCCCCTTGTTGCTGCAAACAGCTCGTCCGGTCGCCGTCCGTTCGGCGGGGCCGACGTTGTCTCGCGAACTCTTCATGGCCATTTTCACCTCAAGAGGAACATCTTTCGTCCTGCGTAAGTATTGGGGCTGTCTTGGGGGCTTCTTGAGCCGTTCAGGAACCATCATGTGGGCCTCGGGCGATATTGGGGTGCTCTTTGGGGGCTCTTGTGCCGTCTTGAGTTGTCGGAAGGCCGAACAGAAACACACGATACGATCCTTTGAAAAAAAACACAGGAACATGTGTGATGTTGGCCTCTTCGGGCCTTCCTGGAGGCCCTCTTGGAGGCCTCTTGGGCTGTCTTGGATGCCTCTTGCGGACATTTTGGGTCGTCGTATGCCATCTTGAGGCCATCGTGGGCCGTCATGGGTGCATTTTGGGGCCATGTTGGGATATCTTTGGGCCATATTGGCCGTCTTGGAGGCATCTTGGAGGGCATCTTGGGCCATCGTGGCCGTCGGGGAGACATCTTGGAAGCCATTTTGGGCCATCTTGGGCGAGAAAGGCATTGACATGCACATTTTCCAGGTGGCCAGCGCGCTGGGTCGAATCCCCAGGGGAAGCTCTAAAATAACCAACAACGTTTCGAAATCTGGCACGCCATGCACCCCGGTGGCAAGCCAACAGGGGGCGGCGGATGACGGAAAGCGCGCAAAGCGTCGCGATCCGTTAGCCAGGAAACATGACAAGGGTGGGGTGTGCGGGGGTAGGCGGCCCGGGTTTAATGTCGGTCCACCCCGCCACCGTC